TTGTATTTGGTTTTCAACGTCTTTTTAGCCGTAGCGCCATCTATGAGAAATCTATGAAAGTATTAATGTAACTTTACAGCTACCAGCCCTGGCTAGAGATGTCGGTATTACCTGTAATTATTTTTTTATTGAATTAGTTACAGATAAGTTCATAATATATTACATTATTGCAATATTAATTATTACACTCCGCAAAGTTTAGTTTAATTAGAATGACAGCTGGCATAGATGATGGAGCACTTGAGTAAATGAAAAAAAAAAATTACTGTACATATTTTATTCCCAAGCTAATTTATACATGCAATTCATTTTTAAACATAAATATGTTAATTCGTTTACAACGCATTTATGGCTTTATGCAGCATTTAATAACATAGAGATATTAATCATTATAAGAAACAACTCTAGCTAAAATAAATATGTTACAAAAGTTTTTCAACGTTTCGTGGTTTCTCACCAAATGATTCCACCAATTACAGGTTTCTTTCTGACCAGTCAACCCGTGACCATGGAGCGTGTAACCTTTTCGAAATTTCCGGATAATAACAAGTCATGTGGTGGAGACACACCTGTAACTGGTCGCATCAATTTAGAAAACAGACTAATCCGATTGGGCTCTTAACGAGACAGCAGTATTTTGGAATTTCCTTCTTATCTTGTCTATAGTAGAGAGAATATCGTATTGAGACATCTGGTGATTTCTATTGAAGACCTAGAATGGCGTATAAATAAAGAAAATCAAAGCGAGCAGCTATAGAGGTCAAAGTGCTGGCAATGACCCGTGGGGCTACATTAACAAGAATCTGGCTGTTAAAAAGGATAACGACAATAATTTCTGGCATGTGGAAAATTGCTTTTTTTGTTATCTTATTGACGTTTTTGATAAGGAGCTTCTCTGAAGATGGGACTTTTGTCACGGTCATGGAGTATATAACCAGAAATAGAAACGAAATAAGGACTATCCACCCCTAGCCACTCATCAGGCATATGGGCCTTATATCACTTTTAAATATCAAGTCTCGTTTGCACTGCAATCACAAATTAGAAAGCTGAAATAGTACAGCGCCAACAACTGACCCGTATGTACCTACGTCTCCGTATATTCCAAAAATATTCTGTATTTATTGTAATAAAGAAAGATATCTCTAACTATGGAACAACCCCCCGGGTGTTCCATTCTGTGGTGTGTGTAAAACAACAAAACGTCTACCCAATTACAAAACAAACGGAATCCCATTTCATCGGTAATTAAATATGTACTGTTTCAATTTTCGTCCATTACAGCAAAGCTCAAGTTAAACTGGTCGATTTGAAGTGAAACAATTGACGACACCCGTCAATTGTTTCGAATCCGGGCTAGCCAATCGGAGCGCAGTGTCACCGTAATGATTTGGCAGAATAGTTTTCAAACAAATTAAATGACTCACTATACACTATACTCAATCGTCAAGGTCCACCAAAATTAGTATTTAATACAAGCGCAGCTAAATATTAGGCGACATCACATACGTTGCTCTGATCTCAAAGTAAGTTGCTAAAGCACTTGTGTTATGGAAATCAGAAACAACGATGGTACCACAAACAACCAGACCCGAGACAATATCGGGACTTTAGAGATGGCGACACCGTGAGAACTGGTCTGCAAGCCACTCGACCACACGGAGATCGTAATTCGCCCCCTTTACATAGTCACCCAATCGCGCGTGATCAGGAGCGTACAGGATTGCGCGCGGGAAAGCCAGCACGCGCAATAGCGCGCGATTACCTGTTTGAATTTTTTTAAGGCAACGTTCTTTTGCGCGCGATTGCTCGTGTTTATTTTTGTTCCAACGGAAAAGCGTCCGTGTAAAAGCTAATAGAGCAGGGTAGTAGTAGTAGGGTAGAAACTGGCATTGCTGTATCACGCGCGATAGATTGTCTGTGTAAAGCCTGCTAATGTATCGTTGGTTTCAGATTTCGCCAAAAATCTTGATAACGTTAGTTATGATCAGGCGGGCAGCACTATTGAACGTACTGCCCAGTAATTTCAGTACCCTCCAACTCATCACCAATAAATTCCATCTGAACAACCTCCATTTCATCGATCTCATCGATAATTCCCGCCATAGCCTGTTCAGGAAAATGGCGATTTCGCATGTGCATCTTTAAATTAGTCTGATGCACGAATGCCTTGTCGCACACCTGGCATACGTGTTTCTTTTCCCCAGAATGCGTTACCAGATGTGTATTCAGATTACTCTTTTTCGCAAACTTTTTTCCGCATATCGAGCAAATGAACTTCTTCTCCCCATTATGCTTGGCCATGTGCAATTTAACGTCGTAAGGCCCGAAGAATTTTTCTTTGCAGATCTCGCATTCGACGTTTTTCTCTTTCAAATGTACTCGTCTCATATGCCTGGACATAATGCTCTCTTGAGGAAACACTTTCGGACAATATTTACATTTGATTTTGAGCTCCTCAACACCATGTACATTTGCCAAATGCAGCTTCTTGAAATACGGACTCTTGAACGTTTCTGGACAATGCGGACAAGCCGACAAGTTCACCATATGAACATTCTTCTCGTGCAGCAGCTTCTTCGATAAAGTCGACAGCACAATACCACACTGCTCACAGTTGTATCCTCCTTCCCTATGATAGTATCTATTATGCATTCGTAAATGATTTTCTCCTTGAAAACTGGTTCCACATACGTCACAAATGTAATCATGTGACAAATGATACTTATTGGCATGTCTCAACAAGTATTCGAAAAACACGAACTTCATGTTACAAGTGGGACAAGTTGGTTGATCCTTATCCAAGACAAAGGGTAATAAACAATTTGGTACACTCATATCGTATTGTGCGTCGTGGGCTATTATCAAGTGATGTATCAGTTGTTCCAAATTATTCACAGATTTTGTACATAGTTTACAAGCTATCCCCGTCACATCAATCTTTACTGCAGCATCTTTGTTTCTATTATTTTTCGTTCGGTCATAAATTACTAGTTCCAAGTTCGCGAATTGATGGACTCTAAGCGTATGTTCCCGTAGGGTGTTTGGATCCTTCATGGGTTCAACGCAATAGAAGCAGCGAAATTTACTCTTGTACCAGAGGAATGGGGTAACGTTTCCATATTGTAACACGTACTCAACGTTACGTCTTTTAATTAGAAGTTTTCTTGCGATTTCTAGTTTCTTATCTTTGTCCTCCATTGTTAGTTTTGCACCTGGAAAGAAGATAGTGTTTACTTGGTTTTCTTCTTGAATTAGTCACTGATAGAGGGTGTAAAATTAGTCCTTGTTCAGCAGAGACCGAATTATTTTCGCGTTTCAGCGCTTCTGTTGAACTACAAATTTGGTTTAAAAAAAAATCGCAGCAATGCGTGTAAAGTACACCTTAAAACCGACTTTAGTGCAAGAGCACTCATAAAAATAATTAGGAATTAATAGACAATTTTTGAGGTTATAATACTGTTCTACATTACGTCTGAAATCTCATGAGTAAACGACTCCGACCACCGACAACAATGAACAACTGTCTTTTTGAAGCACCTATATCCAATTCGCACAATTCTTTTTCTTATCTCGCAAAATAAAATCATCATAGAAAACGAAATATGGTTCAGTATATATGGAAATTTAAAAGCAAATTATCACTCGAAATCGCTTTTAACGCGATCTAACTTTAGGGAACTAATTTCAACAGGGAAGATGGTTTCTCCGTACCACCAGTTTGGAATGCAGTAATTCCTCTGATGAAAAATCCCAAACAGACGTAAGACTGCAGTACTAATTAATATGTTTTAACTTATTCTAATTTTCATTATTAATTATTAATAAATTTAATTTAATAAAAGTTCATATTGTTAAAATAAAATAATTAGTAAAACTCAATGTAGCGTAAATTAGAATGTTTGTTTGTAAAATAAAAAATTAGGTATTTAAATAATAATTTTTATAACTATAGTGAAAAAATAGGGTGGTTTGCATTAATATTAGACATAACTGGTTGATGACTGTACTATCTCAGTCAACCGTGACCATGGGACCTGTAAAGAGCCCGAACGTGGTTTTGTTTGAAAAAAATCTATGGAAAAAACAAATATCGCGAGATTTAAGTAACAATCGCGAACACCTAAGAATATTTAAGGAAGATTTGTCAATAAAAGGTAGTTATTTATAAAGATGATATATTTATATTGATCAACACTATTTATACACGGCAGTTGACTATAAATTAATCTTAAAATTAAAAAGATACAAAGTATAATAGGAAAGTCAAAACTGATTACAGCTTTTGAATATTGAATTCAGTCTTATTGTGAACAGAATAAAGTTTTCTTTGTAATTTTTAAGTTTATTGAATGTCACAATGTTTTGCTACTATGATATTCAATCTTTTTTTGTGAAATTACTCCACTAGTTTGTTATAATTATTATAACAAAGTTGAAACACTAAGAAGTTGGGTTTCCTTTACAAAGTACTATCAGCAAGGTGACGCCTTACCAGTCTCAAAACAAATTTATTTCGCACTTTTGGTGTAATAAGACCTCATCTCCAAAATGACAAGATTTTTTTGTTGTGTAGACCATTTTTTTTCTGACAACCTTTTTGTGTATAATTAAAGGTTAGCCAGCCAGCCTTTAAATGCCATTGGTTGACAAGAACAAGGAAGCTGAAGGTGGCCGATCCTGACCACAGATGCCTGCACACAAAACTATCCTTTAGGTGGTAACGTAGTATCTTTGCTGGTAGTACCAATCACGGACTTTGAATACATATTCACAAACTTAAGCTTTATTTCAAGGGTATATAGTATACAATACTATGAGTTATATAAATTTATCATTATTTACAAATACGTAATTAGGTACGTATGTTTGTTCTTTGAAAATATGTATGTGCTTTATACAGAGCGTAACAAAAGCAGCTTGCAAATTTCCATTGCATTACGAAATAACTGATACCAATAACTATTTGCACATTATTCGAGGAAGTTATGCGTATCATGTGGTTAATACCTCCCTCTGAAAATTTGGAATTATTAAGTTATTTATTTATATAGTTAGTTGCGTCACTACGGTAGGGTATTTGGAAGTAAAATTTTGTAATTGTAAGTAAAAACGTAATTTTTTCTGGCTTTCATTTTTAATAATTCCGGGATATCAGAGGTAGGTATCATCAACTGTATGTTTTTTTACTTGAAGTTTAATTTATGAACTGTATATTTACACCATTGTACATTACTCTTTTCAAGTAATTTATCTACATTGTTGTAGCCACATACTTAGTGGGATCAGAACAATTATAATGTGTGTCAGGGTCGTAACAAATGTTAGGCTGCGGCTACTCCGATGGGTAAAGGTAACTGTATGTATTATAGAAGCTCAATTTGTCCATCTTTTGATATTAGGTTTGCTCGAGTCGAGTTTGAAAAAAAACGAGTTTAGTGCACAGTTTCCCAAAGTGGTTCCCCTAGTGGGCGCTGAAGAGTCCTAAGGGGTATGGCCTCGGAAGCAATTGGGAGGCGTTGATGCTGTCCAGGAGATGCTACCATATTGGAATATAGACGTGAATTATCTACCTCTAAACTGCGCTACACTTTTTTCCTTGTGTTTTTTATGTTAATATAAAAAAATACGTGTTTTCAATTATTTTTTGTGATGTGGGAATTTTTTTATCTTGCCTAAGTGGGCGATGAGCCAAAAACCTTGGGAACCTATGGTCTAGTGGTTATACAACGGACTGGACTAGTCTAGGAAGTAAATTGATTTATGACTGAGATCCTGACTCTAACTGGGAAAAGTTTGCCACAGGGACTGTTTTTCTTAATCCTGCCCTACGCAATCAACATGCTGTGTATGTTTTTACGTAGTCGTCTCTACGTGACCATATTTCTTATGCATTTCCATATGAGAATATAAATTGCTACGTCGCAAAAACAGCTTACCGCAAACGCTACAAGTAAACTTTCTGTCACCTTCATGTTTGACCATGTGCATCCTTAATAAATAATTGTCAAAGAATTTCTCATTGCACACGGAACATGGAACATTCTTTTCCTTCAAATGCGTTCTTCTTATGTGATCCTTCATGAACGAGTTTCTTGTGAACATACGCCCGCAGTAAGTACACTTGTGACCCGTATTGTGGACTTTTATTAAATGCTTTTGCTTATGATATTGGGAATGAAAGAGTTCTGGACATTTTGGACACTGAAACTCCTTTGAATCGTGGTTCTTGGCTTTGTGACGAGATAAACACCACTGATTCTTGAATTTTGCGAAGCATATACTGCATTCGACTAAACCTTTATGAGCGTAGGATATGTGAACTTTCAAATTAGTAACGTTTTTGAAGCTACGTCCACAGGAATCGCATATAGTTTTGTTGTCGCTGTGCTCAGAGTTTATATGACGCAGTAAAATTGTGAAATAACGGAAACTCAGAGGACAGTAAGGGCATGGGACATTGTCTTTTAAAATCCGAAACGGTTGTAAGCAGTTGGTTAAAGTTTTATCATAATTAGCGTTATGGTTATTAATTAAATGATCTATAAGTTCGTCTAAATCCGATATCGATTGTTTACAAATCTTGCAATTTAGTGTGGATATGTCAATTTTTACACAAGTTCGATCTGCTTTGCATGTTTTCATATATTTTCCATTTAAATCGCAAATAGGGTGATTAGTGATTGAGTGGTCTTTAAGTTCTTCGAAGTCTAAGAACTTTTTTGAGCAATAAAAACAGGAATATTTGGCGAAAAATCGAAAGGGTATCGCTGTAGACATGTTTAGAACACAGATAATATTTTGTCTGATTTGGTTGACATTTTGTCTCTTTTGGGGCTCGATTTTGTCGTCGAAAGTATCATCTAATTCCTCCGTAGGATCTTCAGCAAGGAGTTTCACCTTGCATTTATTAAGATGCTGTTTTAAACCCTGTTTTGAATGCATTTCTTTGGAACAAAATTTGCATTTCAGGCTGTCATCAATTGGATGCTCGGTTTGTATATGTTTTTGTAACAGACTGTAAGTTGCAAAACTTGTATTGCAATCTTTGCATTTTCTAAAATGATAGTTATTCTGGTGCCTTAGTAACAATCGGTTTGTTTCAAATAACTTAGGGCATCGGTCACAAGAATATCCTCCAAGTTTGTGATAATTCCTCAAATGAAATGACAAATCTCTTTTCTTGTTAAACGACGCTCCACAATCGTTGCAAATAAAACGATTTTGAGGATGATGCGTGTTAACATGGGTTATCAGGTATCCGAAATACGTAAATTGTAGTCCGCAGTACAGACATTGGCAGTCTGACAATCTATATTGCTGAAAAGGCACTTCAACTGTCTTGTCGTATTCTAAACAATGTTCCGCTATCAAATGGTCAACTATTTCGTCAAAACTTTTAAAGGATTCATTGCATATATCACAAGTCATCTCTGAAATATCAATCTTGATTTCGATATGATTCCCTTTGATAATTTTCAATGCATAATCTTTGGTGGTACACAGACCGTGTGATTTTGTATGTTTTTTGAAATCTTGGTATTCGTTATAGAATTTACCGCAGTAAAAGCAAAGGTACTTTCCTCGCCACTTGAATGGGATAATGGAAGTGTGATTGAAGAGAATTTGCATATTTTTCCGGCGACGTTCTGACGCGAAACCATCGTACGGCCCTGATGGATATTCATCTGAAAACAAATTTTTCTTTCTTGAATTCGCCTCTTTACTACGCTTCACACCTCGTCTATTATATAAATTCTTGTCATATAAACTTGCGTCCATTTCTCATTGCTTCAAATCATATATGGTTTGGATGATTTAAAATATTCCAGTATCAACAGGTCGAGACCTAATGCCCAAATTTCGAAGACAGCTTTACATAAAAATCATGTTAATAAAATGTACGTTACTTGATTTCCGATGTTCAAAAGTACAGAAATTACATATAATATTCACCGCTGAGACTAAAGATACAGTTTAACTGATGAAAATCCCTATAGGATCCTTCCGATCCTTTCGAATGTTCACATCCTTTCGAAGTTCGTAGGTAGACAATATGATGTATAGTGAGCGTATTAAAATAACAACTGTTAGCCTTAAATTCATAATAATAAGCTGTAATTAAGTTCGACATAAAAGTCTAATTTTCAAGGTCACAGCTCGTTGTTACTTCAAAGACCTTTACGAGATTTAGTTTAGCAAGTGGGTGTTATGTTTAATGTGTGATGCCATATGCCCTCGAAGATTCTTTTTCCATAGAAACTTTTTGCCACAAACATCGCAATGAAAGTTCCTTTCCCCAATATGTTTCACCATATGCATTCTCAAACGTTGAGCGTCGAAAAACTTCTCAAAACAAATAGAGCATTCTACGTTCTTCTCTTTTAAATGCAATCTTCTTACGTGACTCATCATAAAGGAATGTTTAGGGAACAATTTCCCACAATAAGAACATTTATGTCCAGTGCCGTGTACATTGATCAAATGTCTAGATACCATGTAATGAGATGTAAATTTCTCTTCACACTGAGGACAGTCGGCTATTTTGACACCATGTTTTCTTCCAAGATGTAATTGCAAATCGCCAGAAGATGTGAATTCGGAATCACAACGTTCGCACTTATGCTTTGCTGCTTTGTGATATCGGCTTACATGTGCTCGTAGGTTGGGATCCGAACGAAAAGATTTGCCACAATATAAACAAATCTTTTTGTTATCCGTATGATCCCTGCTTATATGACGCAATAAAATCCCAAAATACCGATAAACTTCTTGACAGAACGGACAAGTGAAGTTGTCTTGTATTAGCTTATAGGGCAGCCATAGATTTGGGATACTTTTGTCGTATTTAGCCTTATGCTCTGATGTTATATGTGTTATTAAATTATCTATATCGGGTGTTGATTCTAAACATAATTTGCAAGATAAGGAAGAAGTATCAATTTTGATTCCTTCTTCTCCACGATTTTTGAGTTTCATACATTTAGCTTTTATATCACAAACTGGATGTTCCATAACCGTATGCTGTTTCATATCTTCGCATTCAGTAAAGTCTTTCGGGCAGTAAAAACATCTAAATCTATTCTTGAAATGCTTAAACGGTATGGCAGTAGACATGTTCAAAACATTTGCTATGTTAGTTCGTAATTGTTTAACATTATATCTCTTATCAATATCGTCGAGTATGATTGGTTCTTCTTTAGTTTTAATTTTCGTGTTACATTTTGAAGCGTGGCTCAAAAATGCTTGTTTTGTAGACATTATTTTTAAACATAATCCACATTGAAGAATACCATCAAACCTATGATCCCATTTCATGTGACTAAGTCTTTTATTTAGAGAGGAAAAGGTCTTAAAACATATATTACATACGGAAATGTGCTCATTTTGTTTATGATTTAGCAATTCCGCGCTTGTCGCGAAAGACATTGAACATTTAAGGCAACAGTACACCTCCTTGTGGTACTTTCTAATATGAGCTTTGAGATCTCTTAGTTTATTGAAACGTTGGTCACATTTTTCGCATAAAAAGCAATTATTTGGATGATTGTTATTCACATGTGTTATTAGTTTGCCGAAATAATCAAAACTTTGTTCACAATCCAAGCATTTTAGGTCAGCAAGTCTGTAAGACGTCATCATTAAATCTACATCTTTATTATAAGATAATTTGTGTTTAAAAATTAAATGTGATATGATTTCGTCTAAATTTGGAAAAGACTCGTAACAGATTTCACAAGCTATTTCAGATACGTCAATTTTAACTTCCGCTTCTTTAGCCTTTACAAGTCTTATTGCTCGATCCCTATCTGAACATTTCCCATGGTCTTTAGTATGTTTCCTTAGTTCTTCGTGATTGGGTACATCATCTCCACAGTAAAAACACATGTATTTACATCGCCATTTAAAAGGTATTATTGTTGTGTTGTTGAACAGTATTTGGAGATTGCGACGTCTTTGCGGATTCGCGCCTTTAGCCGTCACATCTGGAAAGAAAATTTCTTTTCTATAATATGTATCCTTAATGTATTTTTGCACTGTGGAGATGATATCTCATCTCATTCTCATATCTCTTTTTTCTATTCAATTTTGTCCAAGAAACCAAATGTTAAATTAAAGACTTCCAGTGTAAATCACACTGGAGGAAAGTTGATCCTTAGAAAAGGTTTTAATATTTGGCAGTTTCGGCACTCGACAATTGGTCGAAACAGTGCCAGCTTTACCTATGGTGTAAGGTATGCAGCGCATACGGGTGCTGGGTCTAAGAGGACCCAGAGCCTGCGACCCTCGCGGCGCAGACGAAGTAAACGGGCTATTATTGCCCAACATCATTTATAATTGCACCATTTGCACCCGAATTTCCGATCACTGGGGAAAATATAAATAACTACGTATTCCATCTTGATCCCGCTGCATTGGCAAGCGCCGGCTCTGGGTCGAAAATTAGTTGTACGGGCTTGCTTATGAACTCATGTCGTCGAGTATTTTAATTTTAATCATATCACTTATATTGTGTACTTTATTGAATGACTATGATCACTTTTATCCTAGTACATAATGTTTGCGTTTTGATCCCACATATACTAATGTGGGTGCGTAGTGCGCAAATTCACTGCTTACTTATGCGAAGACATATGACCTCTCAAATTCTTCTTCCATAAGAACGATTTGCCGCAAATATCACAATGAAAATTTCGTTCCCCTATATGCTTTACCATATGTATTCTTAAAAGTATATTATCAAAAAACCGTTCTTTACATACAGAACATTCGACGTTCTTTTCCTTCAAATGAGATCGACGTATATGGTCTTTCATGAACGAGTTTCGAGTGAAAAGTTTGCCGCAGTAAGAACAAGGAATTCCTGTACCGTGAGCATCTATAAGGTGTTTTAGTTTCTTATATTGAGTTGCGAATGTGTCGAAACATTTAGGGCATTTGTACAACTTTTCTCCATGAACCCTTGCCCTGTGGTTAGCTAATTTCGGTACGTTATCAAATTCAAGATCACAATCAGCACATTTTGAGCCTTTAGGATTATGATGACGCTTTAAATGTGACCTGTAATTAGGGTCCTTACCGAATGTCATACCGCAAAAGGAACAAATAATTTTATCGTTAGAATGAAACTCGTTCATATGTTCTAGAAGTTTCGAAATGTATCTATAAGAGACATTAGGGCAGAGAGAACAAGACATATTGTCTTTAATAAGTTTGAAAGGCTGTAGTGCATTAGTGAGATGGTCATCAAATTTCACTTTATGATTAGTTACTAAATGCTTTATCATTGCATTTATATCAGGTGCAACTTCACAGCAAATTTTGCAAGACATTGATGTAATATCAAGTTTAATGTTAATATAGTTTCCTTTTATAATCTTCATTCTTTTACTTTGAGGATCGCAATAACTATGTTCTGCTGTATGAACTCTCAATGGTTCAAAATCTGTGAAATCTTTAGTACAGTAGAAACATCGAAATCTTTGCTTATAGAATTTGAATGGCATTACAGTACTCATGTTCAAAAAGTCCGCAATGCTCTGTCTAAGTTGTATTAGGTTAGGTTTCTTAGTTGATACGACGTCTTCTGTCTTTGGTTCGATTTTAATACACGGCTGACTTATGTGTTTAATATAGCCTCTTTTCGTAGAAAATCCTTTGTGGCAATTTGAACAAGTCGTTTCTTCGTGTATATTTTCTACTTGACGTTCCAAGCCATGTTGAGAATTAAATTTCAGCGAGCACTTAACAGGGTCGTAACTTATTCTAGGATGTACATCTTCAGTATGTTTATACAAAGTGTTAAAATCTAAGAACTGCTTACCACACACTGTGCAACTCAAATCGACTAGTTTAAACGTCTGTATATTAATATTTATACAGCATTCATATTTAAATTCATGATTAGTTAGATGTTTAGTCAACTCATTAACATCTTCAAATTGTAGTTCACAAATTTCACAATTCAGTTCAGAAATGTCAATCTTGATCTCCGTGTTCGATGTAAATTTAAGTATTTGTCCAGATTTCCCATGTGACTTTGTATGTTTACGTAACTCTGTGTATTCTGGTATTACTTTGTCGCAGTAGAAACATAAGTAATCGTTGTCCCATTCAAAGGGTATAACTGTAGTATTGTCAAATAGGGTTTGGAGGTTCTTTCCACGACGTCGCGATGTATAATCTCCGTCCTTTTTGTGTTGTTTTTCATCTGAAAACAAATTTCTCTTCTGTACAGCCCGTTGATAAAGTCTTTTTATATTTTAAGGTAAAAATGTTATAAATATGAATGATCTTGTGAATCACTTGTACGGTCTTACCCACTATACATATACTTCGGCCGTAAGTTTTATGGGTGTAAAAGGATAGCAAGCAATCACAAAACGAAATACGCGACATTCTTACAAATGGTGTACCGATTTCGATAAATACAGATGCAGTCAATTTATTTTCCTACTCACATATATTAACAAAGACTAAACTTAGGTTCATAAAAATGCTGAGATCAGGTTATTCCTCAGGGATATACGATGCGACAGGCAAACTATTGCCATAACGTAAGCCAACGTGACTTCAAATCCTGATATTTTGTCAATGATTAATACGAACATACCCGGTGTACACATCTTAAATTTGTACAGGCGGATTAACAAGCTTATTGTGTCTAGTCATATGAGTCCTTAAACTC